CATATTCCTGGTGCTTCGTATTGGCTTTGCAAAGGCATCAAGGATGGAACCAAGGACAAGGCCAAGAGTCTGGTTTACAAGAGCTTTACCAAGAGTTTAGAAGATGATCATGTTGCTCAAAATATAGCAGAACTGCATGCATTTACAGACTGTGMTATAACGCAACGCAAACACAGATTATATCAGAATATTACAAATGAAAATGCACTTTCTTGCACTTACACTGCTGTATGAGAAACTGCAAAGTTAATGATACAGCTTTAACTGCTCCCCCCCCCCCCAAAATATCTGGCCCATAAACTCAACGCAACTGCCTTTAAAAGCTCCCTGGTCCAAAATTTCTACAGCAAATGTTCTTCTGTTGGAATTTTCTATTCATGGAACTRGACTATAAATAGGGATATAATATATTTAATAGGTTGCAGAAACCATACTCTTCAAATATCCTGACTTTGCTAGGGGCTATAATGACAACAGCAAAATAGCTTGGATACCACTGGGAGCAATTTGTCAGTGCAGCACGCAGGGGCCAGTGTTTTCCTGTTGTAATTAGTAGAGAGCGCATGCTTACTATTAACTTGCTCACTGGAGTAATTCCAGATTCAGGCCTGCGTCTGCTGACTGGCAACGCGTGTACGTGTATGTTTGAATACGGTGCAGTCTGTAAATGGTTCCTGTTGGCCTTCTGCAATTTATTTCATGCYTCCAGCAAGAGTCTTGGACTGGCAGGGCCAGGGACATGTGGTTTTGACATTAGGAAGGGAGCAGGCAAGAAAGCTCGGGTGATTTTCCCCTCTCCTCAGATCAGATGTAAAGTGCATGTCATCTCCAAGAGGTTTTAGGAAATGTAAGGTGGGACATGCAAATATAAAGGTTCCAGACCATYATCAGAGCAGCACCTCCAGTCCTTTCTCCTTCTTCACTTGGAGAAGTGATACAGGCTCTGCRTGGCTTAGCTGGAGTCAGTGACAAAAATCCACCCTGCTTCCCTTTGAAGGTGCTTAAGCAGCCTGACCCACACAAAATTTATTTTCCCTCTTGCACAGGATGGATTCCAACAGTCTCAAATGATGCTCTGCTCACAGATACCACAGCTTTGSGTTTAGTCATTTGGAGCCTGCAAAAGCCTGGCAGACTCCATATACACACCACCTATATAAACATCTAGGCCATATAAACCACCTCTCTAGCTACATCCATCTCCTTGATCCTCRGCATTTCTTTGCTTCATTCAGTAAAGATACTGAGACTTCAACACAGAGCAGAGGCCAAGAGGTCCAACASACCACAATTAATTGCCAATCAAATAACAATCTAAAAGCCTTCTCCCAAAGCACAGCATCTTTTCTGGGCTCCAAGGGCAAGGCTGGCCTACTACAACATTAAGTAGCTGATGAACCACCTCGTGGTCACACTTGTTACAGGAATTGATCACACCCAGTTAATTCCTGGGAGAAATCAAATTGTCTCACCTAGCTCATTTACATTAATAATAAAATTGACTTTGCTGCCTATAACTATTAGAAAGGAAGGCTGCACTGCCATTTCAGCATGATAGTATTTTAAGAAGATTCCTTAACTTTCCACCAGGGCAAAAGCACCCATTTTTTCTTCCTATTCAGCATTTAAAAAAGCATTTTGTGCTTTTTACTGAATCAGATATACAGCAGTTAACTGCTGATTACTGACTTATTTTTACAGCTGATATTTCTAAATCATACACTTGAGAACACCATGACTTTCTTTACTTGCTAAGTTTATGTTTAGAGAAGCACAACATTCATACACTCAAAAATCACAAATTATATAATTTCCTGTTCATCTAGTCATAAAATACAATGCACCATAAGGAAAATGGCAATGCAAATGTGCAGGTAGAAGCAGTTGCTAATATTTCATTCCTGGAAGCAAACTTTAGGAAAACATTCAACCCAAGTACTCACGGTGGGATTTCCAGCTTAGAATGACTGCCAAAACCTTCCATAATGCTTTATCAGATGCTGGAATTAGCCTCTGTGAGCTGCACATTAGGAATAGGCCAGGTCTGAGCATTCATTCTGGATTTTCTTCCCAATGGGAGAAACCTAATAGGAAGGGATATTTCAARGGGGGTTGTAGAAAGGGATCTCTGCATTCTGGTCAATGCACACTACTATCATTTCTGGTAAAGTGTTCTAGTTAGGGGTTACAGTAAATTGATCACATAATACAGCAGGAATTTATCATGTAATAGAAAAGGAATTTAAGAGCTGAATACCTAATATTATTAATAAAACAGGTCTGTGAATAGAGACAGCTAAGGGATACGGTTTATATTATTACCTGATGCCAGGTTAAAATAAAGGGCTGATAAAATACACATTCCAAGGACAAAAAACATCCCAGGGGCTTTTTTAGATGACGTCTGATTGATGGTGCAAGAGTATCAAGTCCTGGGGTACCCTCTGCAAGCATCCCACCAGCTCCACTGCTCCTTCTCATGACAGGTCCAAATCCTCCACATGAAGCAGTTCCGCTGCCCATCCTCCATGGTATTCAAATTGACTCAAATACTGTAGCTAAAGGAAACACCATCCACACTGATTAGTTAGGGACAAAAATCATCAGCTGGGGACAAAGAGCTGAAAAAATCCAGAACACAATAAAAACAGAATAGTCTCAATAACTCAAAGGTATTGGCATACTAGGAATTAACATGGTGCATGTGCACAAATGCAGTATTAAGTAGCATGTAGATGGACACAGCTTAACATCTTTTCACAGTCTGAAAGGTGAGAATACATCTTAATCGCTCATCTAGCTCATTGCTAGAGGTAGTTTTCCCCCTCCTCAGAGGGAGGKGCGCAATGTAGGTGCCATGACCTACAATTTCTTATTTCTTAACACACTAGAAGTGACTTTTCACTGTCATAAAGGAAAAGATAAAGTTTTTGTCCTTGGGGGAAGAAAACCCAACCCAAAAGTTAATTTCATTGTGTTAATAGATTCTACATAAACACTGATGACTATGAATCAGCAGCTGTCTTTGTCACCAGTAGGTCCCTGCTTTCATCTGAATAGTGCCAGTCTACTGATATTTTCGTAAACAATTTCTTCTACTTCATTAAAAACTTTTTTTTCCAGTTTCTAGCTGCATATTGCAAGTTCCTAGAGAAAGCAGGTAATTTATTTTGCTCCAAATCTGCTTAGCAGGTCACTTTAAAGAGGTCAAAGTAGTAGCCAAATCTACAGGCCTCAGCTATTTATTGGGCAAATAAACTCCTCCTAAATGACCAAGACATCTTAATCCTCACCAATCTTCTTTAAGAGACAAARAAGACCTGTTCTCATGATAACACACTTGAGCCATCATTTTTAATATAGAAAATAGTCAAGATGTGTTTCCTGTTATTAGTAAGGGAAGAGGGAAAGAGGGGAAGCAAAGGGGTTGCCATCTGTCATTCCTAATATCTTTCTTTCATGACAGTCAGCTCATTTGGGTCAAGAGTTTGCCAGTTTGGGGCTACAAACCTTGACAGCCGAGCACACGCATGCAAGAGGTTACAGACATCACACCTTTTCCTGTTTGCACCTTTATTAAAAAAGGGAACTCCAAAAATTTTTCATTAAGTGTCATTTGTCACTGGCAAACTCCCCAGGCATCCTGAAATAATAGGGCTTGAGAAGTGCTGCTTTTCGTTCAATAAATGCCATATGTCTCTTGGAATTTGGCAATCACCRATCTGGCATCTCTCGCCAATGGATGTGTATCTTGGACAGATGGAAACATTTTTGCAGAACTGCTATAACCAGGTGCTTCTGCCTCACTGAGGCTAAGCTACCTTTCACCATTTGCTTTTCTGGCCAGCCCTTTCCCCACACACTTTTATTTTAAATGTCACACTAAGGCACTGCAGCACTGCTCCCATCTCCTAACTGCTATACCAGGCTCTGTAGGTGCATTTAGCTATTAAAAAAATGGAGACAACTGTCTATACAGAGCATATGCTGCAAGTGAAAGCTTAAGCTTTTCAGAAAGCAAGTACTGCAGGTACAAACTCCCTAAAAAAACACCAGATTTATCCTTTAAACACCTGAAGGATATTAAGGCCCCTAAACCATTGGCAGTATGTTGGTTACCTTCAGAAACATACCTGCCTAGCAGAAACAGAAACTTATCACCACAATGTCTSAGATTCAGTTACTTGGGAATAAAATAGTTCTTAAAGTCAGAACTCCCTCAGAGGGGCAGTCAATAGCTTCTGCCCTCCTCCTCCTGTTTGACCAAGAAGATAGTTCCCATATGATGTTTATTACTGTAACACATGTAACTATTATTACAACATTTGCTATTCCTATTTCATGCACCAGGGAGAGAAGAATGACTGACAAGTATCTCTGGGTCTATCATTTCTCAGGAACCTCTGATAGCAAAAAAGTATTCTAGCAGACACACACAAGAAAGACCGTGCCTGCTAAATGTGTTAAGAGTAAGCTGCAGTGCAGAATTTCCATATCAAATGCCAAAACTACACAATACAGGGACCCACAGCTAGACAACACAASCTCAGCCCTCATACTTGATGCTTTCAAGCAGTTTTAAAAGTTTAGGGATAAGCTTCATATGCCTTTCGATAGCACAAAAATACCAACTCAGTGCACTGACAGGGATATCTTCGAGGTTGACCTTGCCAAGACCCAGAAAAGGSGGGCAGCCCCATGTTAGAAAGGACCAGATAGGTTTACGTGCAGATCTCCATAACTTTATTGCTGTGCTGACACACCATAACAGGTAATTCTTCCTCCCCCTCCAAAAAAACAAAAAAATTTAAACAAATCACACTTGATCACTCTTGATACAGCTCTGCACACTAGCACATACTGTAACCCTCTGGCTTACTCTAGTTTCAGTCCTGTTGTTCACCCTTTACACAAAACATCTCCCRGTCTTCAAGCTTTTAAGCAGAACCTGAGCACCTCCTAAACCTCTCAAATTTAAAGATTTCAATAGYGACCAATGAAAAAAAGTCAGATGATCTCAAGCCAACAGGAACAGGAGCTCTTGGATAGACTCCCCATCCAAGACTAACAGACAATTTTTGTGGCCTTGGCATAAATTTTCCTGTCTTCATTGGGTGTTCTCTTCTACACAGCTCTTTCATAAGGCTAATTCAGCTATGAATACACTTGAACTTGTTATCATAACACTCATTTTAATGGACAATGATGAGAAAGTTCCTTGATCAAGCTGTGAGCAAGAGCTGATGAAAAAATGAAGAGAACAAAGACCAATCTTGCATCTCCTGGAGTCTGTTGTCTCATCACTTTTTCCCCCCATCCCATAAAAGCACACCAAGGGAAGAGAAATGAACAGGGCAGACTTTTTCTACTGTTTTTCCTAGGCCATGCTCACATATAAGCATACAATACGCTAAATAATACAGCCTTCCCATCTCAAAGCTTTTCAGTAGACTCAGTTTTCTTTCACTTAAACTCATACATAAGGTATGCAGAAGCAGAACACCCACCAATACAGATGACCCAGCAAGGGCAGGATTACTAAAGTAATCATCAAGTTATGYTTTTCTAGTCTGAAGGGTCCATCTTCCTCTTAGCATTTGGTTTGCACACAGCAGTGAGAAAGACAGGACACTGCACAGCACCTGCAATACTCTCCCATCACAAGATGAAAACAGTTGTTTCTGCTTTTGAAACCAAGGGTGCTTTCTTCATTTCATTACACAGTTACATACAGAGTACATACACAGTAACATATAGCACTTGGCCTCCTTAACTGACATGATATGCAGATAGCAATAGCATGCTCAGTCTTGCCAGCCTCAAGTCTTCAGCTCACAGTGAAGTGCAGATCTCTTCCTTGCCTTTCATCCTAAGCATGGAGGGGCTAAGCTGGCTTCTTGGCTTTCAAAAGCTTTACGTCTGCTCTACTTCTTTCCTCAGGGATTTCTCTACCTCCACCAATAGGTCAGTCCACACACTGAGGCCGGGGACATCAAAGTCTCCATCCTGCGCCTTCAGGAGCTCCAGGGCAGTGCGGGTTTGTCCCCCGAGCGGTGCTGGTGCCCGGCAAAGACAGTCAAAACGCTCCCTCAGCTCCTCCCAGGACAACTCAGCCTGCTCCAAGCAGCTACTTGCCCACCGGCCCTGCAAGGGGTCATAGCGCAAGYGGCTTCCCCAAGCAACCAGCAGGTCCAAGTAACAGCTGCTCAACTGGGAATAGCGAGCAGCCAGTGCAGCGAGCAGAGAGCCTGGGAGGAGGTGACACAAAGCAGAGAGGCGCTCGGGGTTCTGCAGCAACCAGGCAAGGAGTGGCGCGGCCGCCTGCCCGCCTTCCCCTCCGCCCCTCGGCCCTTCCTCGTCGCCCCAGGCCTCCTCGCCGGCCAACAGCGCCGCCGCCACCACCTGCAGGGCGCGGGGCTGCGGGAGCTGCTCGAGGAGCGCGGCCAGCCAGGGCAGCAGCTCCGCGGCCGCCTCCTCGTCCTGCCGCTCCTCCCGCAGCYGCGCCAGCAGCGCCTGCGCCTCGGCCCGCACGCGCGGCTGCGGCGCGGCGGGCGGCAGCAGGCGGGCGGCAGCCTTGCGCCGGGCGAGCAGCGCCAGCCCGGGGGGCTCGGCGGCGGCGCCGGGGCTCAGCACGCTCTGCAGGAGGCGGCGGCAGGCGGCGGGCGGCAGAGAGCGGTTCTCCAGCAGCGCCAGCGCCAACAGCGCCGGGCAGCGGCCCAGGTGGCGGAAGGCGAGCGCAGGACCGCGGCCCTGCCGCAGGCGCCGGCCCAGCGCGGCCCGGAGACGCGGCCGGTCGCGGAAGCGGCCGTGCAGGTGCTGGAAGAAGGCGGCCCACTCCAGCGCTCGGCTCAGCGTGGCCGCGTCCCAGGCGCGCACGAGCGGCGAGCGGCACACGGCGAGCAGCGCCGGCAGCTGCGCCACCTGCGACAGCAGCGCCTCCATGGCGGCGCCGCCGCCCGCCCCAACGGCCGCTTCGCGCCGGCCGTTTGAACCGCGGCCCGCCCCGCCCGCGCCGCCGGCCAATCCGCGCCGTCGCAGCAGGAGCTCGGGTGGGCTCGATTGGCCCTCAGCGGTGTCAATCAGCCGCGGGCGGGCGGTTTTGCGGCCTCGCGCCTGAGGCGGTTGGGAGAGACCGGGCGGAGGCGGGGAGGGGTGCAAGGCCGTTGCGTATAATAAAAAGACATAAACCCAACACCCCTGAGAATTGTGTGAAACCGAAGTGCCCCCTCAAAGAGATTAAAATGAAAATAARAAGTTCCATAAACACAACTTCCAAAATTAATACCCCACCACACTCTCAAGATGGATCCACAGCCATAGAAGGGGGTGCCCCATAGCAGGCCAGATAAACTAGAGCAGCCATCTCTGGATTTTCTTTCACTCCATATCCTTTTTTAACTCTTTTATATCATATAYAAAAATTGGGCAGTTGGGAGAGAGCAGGGCAAGGAAGAAACCAGGGTGATTGCGTATAATAGAAACACATAAAACCAACACCCCTGAGAACTGTGTGACACCAAAGTGCCCCTTCAAAGAGATTAAATTGAAAATAAAATTGTCCTAAAAGCATCTTCCAAAGCTAATACCCAACCACACCCTAGAGATGGATTCACAGGCATAGAAGGGGGGGCCCATGGTGTGCCAGATAAACTAGAGCAGCCATCTCTGGACTTTGTTTCACTTTATGTCCTTCTTTAACTCTTATATTACATATAAGGGTTGTTACCTTAAAGTTACTTAAAGCTACACATTAAAACTGTATCTTACCTGATGAAGAAACAGCTCTTCAGCAACTCCCACAGAGGCAGAAAATGGGGTGCCAGGCTCTTCCCTCATCTTCAGCAAGCAGACAAAATAATATATCCCAAAAATGAAACAACAGGAAAAATGCACTTCTATGAGGAAGAGTGAAGGAAAACAYGTCCCCACAAGTCAGGGGGGAAGAATTTGAAGCCCCCTGCCAGCACCTTCCTGATACCCCTGCACACCTTGACCAGGAAAGAAAGGATCTGCTGCCCCAACGGCTTTTGGCCGGGTCCTGCCACAGGCTGACGAGGGTCACCTGGAGCTCATTGGCACAAGGGTCACCTGGAGCTCATTGGCACCAGAACTCCCCTTGGCTCCGCTGCCAGCGGCTGCTCTTGAGGTGGGCAGCTGAACTGCTTGCATCTGTGGGATGTGGGGTGGGTACATAAAAGCTCTTGATGATGGATTATCTTGTTTCACCTGTAAAGGAGGCTTTGTGGGTTTGTTTTTTAAGCTATGTCCTGTTTGAAATCAAAAATAAGAAAAAAGCTCCTCAAAGTTATTTTTATTGCTCTTATTTTTCATTAACAATGGTCTGAGTAAGTCTATAGAGCTCTTAAAYATCTGTAGTTCTATCACCACTCACCTAAAGTGGGATCACAACTGGGGAGGGATTTTAGGTTATTGCTCTAATATCATCTGGTGGGTTTYGGTGACCCTTTTTTCATGTTCATCATTCTTCTGTAACAGCAGTGAAGCAAAGGCAAGAAAATGAGAAATCTTAAGACATATTCCTGTTTGGTCTCTTGCTTGCTCACTGAATATAGAGCCCATAGATATCTATAAGCTGTTGCATTATTAACTATGAAATGATTGTTTTCGTTATTGCAAATATCTACTTATCATCTCTAACTGTGTTTAAATTTCAAAGCATATTGTAAGCTAACATGCATTAACACTAAGTTGAAGCATGTAAGCTTTTCTCTTCAATGCAATAAGAAATAAATGTGATATACTGTATAAGGAGTTTTATGTAATAGAGCAGGAGTGGGTACATAAAGTAGGAGGAATGTAATTAAATAATATAACATTTGATACATCAACTTGTACTGCTAGTGTCAAGCTGCACCTAGTCGGAAAAGACAGTTAGAATGAATTTCAGCCCCCCTAGTCAGTACCAGTGCAGGGTGTTTTTGCATGTGTGTGTATTCCAGAAGGAAGAGAGGGTTTCGCCTTGGTGTTAGGAAACTCGCAAGCAATTCTTTGGGCTGCTTTTCTTTTGTCTTTGTAGGTCTGTGTCCTATGAATGTGTCTGTCTCACCTGAAACCAACGAAATAATCCCATTTGTAGCACCAAGGAACTTTTTTAATAGAAAAAAAAAAAAAAGCAGTAGAAATATAACTGGGCAGGAAAGACACTAAGTAGTGGAGTATCTGGAATGCTCTTGCATTTGAAGGGAGATGTATGTAGAGGTGACTGAAAAGTGGAATTTCTGTTAGGAAAAACCCTGATATTTCCACATTTGTTTGGGTCTCAAATGAGGATGATAAGTTTAAATATTTACTAKTTACTTATTTATTTTTAATGGAGGAGCTAAGGTTTGGCCTGTCAGAGATAAGACAGCTCTTAAAAGATGATCTTCATGCTTTTCTAGGCATTGCAGCTGCACGTGGAGTCTCTGGTCATGATGGGGCACAGCTAATACTTATAAGGAAAAGTAGAGCTTACCCTGAAGAAACAGCAGRGCTATCTTCAAAGCAACTTTAAGATAAATTCAAGGAATATATGAAAGATCCAAGGTAACACCAAGATAGTTGTGATTTATGTAGCACAGGATTRCTTTACAGCAGCTTTCTTTAATAGCAGCTCTCTTTCCATATTGCCCACTGAAGAAATTCCCTTTCAGTCCTCACTTTTATGCTCCTATATTGTAAGTGTGGCTGTCTTTAGAATGTGCTCTGTCTCTTGATTCTAGCTTTATTTTCATGTCCAAAAGGAGGTTTAAAGCAAGGAAAGATTACTGGAAGGTAGTCATCTACAATTGTGTTAGGCTGCATTAAATGTTTCTCCATCCCAGGTTTTGATTGATAGGATCCATGGCAAAGAAAGCTGTTGAGCAAGTCAAAAAAGAATTGGGGAAGTCATTTCCGCAGCTCCCTGAAAGCAGGCTGGCTTCTCAGTGAAGTATTGCAGAATGGTTTCACAGGCCCCGTATTTTGCTTGAATTATTGTACTGCTTTATCTAAGCTGAGGACTCAAATGAAAGATTCATATGAAGTTTTATGAAACAAGTGAGTTTCTTCACTCCAGTTATGGAGCCAGTTAAATTCACCCTGGCAGGAAGATCRGTTTTGAAGCTAAATGGTTCAGACTTGCCAGAGGTCTGGAATCCATTTTTACGTTTACCTTCTTTTCAGAAGATGTACTTGCTGTAAYGTGGCTATCCTGCTTCCCCTAAAAAATAACAGGGAAATGCACTCTGTTTACTGCAAAGTGGTCTTGCTTTGGAAATGAGGCATTTGGCTCAAATGTGAGTCAGAACTGTATTAGCAAAGTTAGTGAGCTAAAGTTTAGCTCTCAAGTTCTCTGGAAATAAAGCTAAATAAACCTGAGTGGCAATTTGTGCCACCTTTTTCTGAGTGCGAACAGGTAATTAAAGGGGATGAAGCTCCAGACTTGAAGCCTCTTTTCCCCAGGTGAGCCCCATTAAATGGTGCTCTGTAACCTCCTAACCAAGTGCAGTTAAGTCAGTAACTACCTCTGCCTTCATGTTGTTTCAGGTGATGCATTTTGCCTGATCTTTGCAGTGCTCTCTGCCTCCAGGATAGTGGTTTGATAGGTCATAGCATGCACAGAGTGGGTCATTTCCTTGCATGTTTGTCCAGTTTTCTTTTCCTTGAAGCCAAGAAAATCCTCGGGTATTTTAGATAKGTTTATTGCTGGATCAGGTGAAAAAACGCAGCTTTCAGTGCTATTCACAACTGYATTATTCTTTAAATAAGGATTTGAAAGCTGTCTGCTTCATGGAGTGTGTTGTCAGAATACTCTGTAAGTAAAGGGATACTGAAAGTTATGAAAGAATGGAATACTCTGAAATTTTGGTTAATGCTTTCTTGTGTAAAGACAAGAGTCCTAGGGCTGAACCAAATCAAGCATCACAGGTTTACTACTTAAAAGGGAGTCATTTTTAAAAGTCTTTGAAGCAAAAAGCAGGCCTTGAAGAATAACAGCAAAAACTTATTCCTATTCAAGTTATGCGTCTTTCCATGACAGTGAGCTTGCTGTCATTCACAAGAGTACAGGGAGATGTTTTAAACACCCTTTCATGTTGGAATCCTGTCAGATGGGTTATATTTTTTACATGCATAAAAAAAACTGTGTAAAATTCAATGTGAGACAACTATTTGCCAAGCTATTTATATGCATGTCTGGGTACTAATAATCTAAGTCATCTTGATTTTTCCTTACTTGTCCAGTACCCTGAGAACATCTTAAATGTTTGGATTCACTTGTATCTCTCCTTCATAGCTCTGTCCAATATCCTTAGAAATAGTACATGTGTCTGTGTATATACAGATAGACACATTAACACACACATGCAGCCTGGGTAGACTTTTATTTTTTTGAGCAATAAGTTTTTAAGTATCTGTTGTTTCCATTTTCATGTCTCCAAAGCTTTTATGTGAATTCTTCCAGCACATTTCTCATTATTCTCTCAACCTTTCCTCTGCTGGATGGCTGGGCTTTCCAGACATATAACCTGAAATGTCCTGGGAGAATTTACATAAAAACAATAAAGCCGAGGAAATGGAAACCACAGAATATATACATAAAATTTTTTCAGTCTGTGCTAAGAAGCTCATTGGTTCATATTTACAAAGGAATTCAATTTTCCATATTAACATCCTTTTCCCTGTGAAGCAAATGTGGGCGACTGGGATGGTAGAAATCATTACTTCAGTGAATATTCTGGGTTGGGGGCTTATATGTTAGTCTCATTAATGATTAAAGGATTTTACTTTCCTCTGTCCTGGTATGTCAGCCTGCACAGAAATGGCCAAAGTAAGCAAATGCTAATGTGGGACATAGGAGGGTCTTGATTTCCCCAATTAAGACCAACTTAAAGGATTTTTTGTTTGTTTACATAGTCCAGGAGATATAACAGACTGCTTAATAGCTTCTGATATCTACCCTTATAGCATCTTTAGAAAGCAAATATTATAGAAACTGATAGATAGCTGTTCAATAGGATCCATGATAGAGTTAAACTGCTCTAGTTTCTGTTGAGATCCACTTGTTTGTGGTTTGTGCTGTGTACTTGGCATAAGCTTTCTGAACAAGGTAGGAAATGAGCAGTACTCCTGCTGAAAAGAGGAGTGACTGGGGGAGAAAACAGAAATGAGATTTGCAGCATGTAGGATATTTGCATAACTAAAATCCAGAAAGAAATCTATAATTCATCCCTGTGGATCCATGAGTTTGAATTCCTAGAATTCAAAAGCCTATAGGAAAAGTCTGCTTTCCTCATGGTCCTGGGTTTTGGTAAGCAAATGGCAAGTTACCCAGTATTAAATAATCTGGGTGTACCTAATACCTCAGTACTCCAGGCTTGGCATGTAGATGCTACAAGCTGCACTAGAGTCATAGGATTTCCAYGGGATTAACTTCTGTGCAGCATTTTAATCTCCACATTAAATATGGATCTCTCTGCYTGATTTGTTGGTTCTCCAAAGGCAATTTTACTGTCAATGTCTTTCTGACATTTCCTRCCAAATGGCATAACCCAATAAAGTAATTTAGGATCAATTGAAGTGTTACTTTGGATAGCAATGTTCATCTTTATTAAAAGATTAAGAATGGGAGAGGTTGAGAGTGCCCCATAGSATGCAGTGATTGCTCAAGCAGGCTGAGAACGAGTTCACTGATGTTTCTTTTTCCTTTTGCTTGGATTACCTCACTTATTTTGTTTGCTTCTCTGATTGGAGACATAACTGTTCCTATTAGTGTTTTGTTCCTCCTGGTTTCTAAGTCCTTTTTTATGTTATTTTTTTTGCAAGACTTTCACCTGGTAATGATTTCAGCATATGGACTTAAGCTTAACACTAACCATGTAGTGTTCAAGTTATACGCAGCGTGTTTGGTTTGAAAGCAGTTTTTCCTGCAGCTCCACACTGTGCAGACTGTGTCTGGTGTCTGCTGAACTTGCCTCTTTGCCTAAATGAATCCAGCGAGTTGTGTGGAGTCCCGGAGGAGAGTCCTCCTGAACTCTGCAGAATTGCAAGTCTTGGTTAGATGTTTGCTCTTCAGTATCTCTTCCAGGAGAGATTTCAGGCATTTTTTTCAGGAATCTGTGGCCTGGCCTTCTTTGTATTTGCTTGTTGCTTCAGTAACATTTTGTCTAATTTCTTTTACAATATTTAAAGCAAGCAGTCCACAAACTCAGTTTACTGACAGGCTATGAGATAAGATAATCTACTCTAGCTTATTTTATAATTTATTTTTTATTAAGTTAGTGAAGTTGTCCTAACCAAGTTACAAATGTGTCCCATAAGACTTGGGGTGTGCATTAGAGCAGATGATGTGGATCACACTGCAGTAGATGACTACATTTTTCTTTACCTTTTTTATGGATTGTAATTTCACACGCACGACAGTTGGTATAGAGATCCCATGGCCCTTATGGAGGCTGTACTCCCTAGAACTTGCATGTGCAAAGTCTAAAATATGTCAGGTTTTACTGCCCTTCCCATCTTGTCTTTTGTTGAGCAAAGCCACGGATTTCCCCAGGCCACAGATAGAGAGTACAGGATTTGGTAATGAATTTCATCTGGAGTTACTAGCATCCGTGCACCTTATGCTCTCATTCAGATTTCTGATCTGGATGTTCAGTTTTGATGTCTCTTGTTCCTAATACTTTTGACTGACCAGGTCTATGGGATTTTGTACAAGATCCTGCCTCACCCGCTGTTTGCACCTTCTTCATTTGATATTTTTATGGTCTCTTCATCTGGGCTTGCAGCAGGCTGTGAGCACGCAACACACTGAACTAAAAGATGTCACACAATGTTTTCTAATTTCTAGGAATTTGAACACGAGTCTTGTTGCAAGTAGGCCCATAACATTTGCAAGGTAAAACGCTGGCTTTCTGTCTACGGCTTTCTCCAGATGCCCATTTTTGGGGCATCTGGTTTCAAGGCTGGCCTGAAATTTGATCTTTCTGCAAATCACTCGGTGTGTTTCAGCAACATATGTCCTTAATGAAGTGAGCTGGGTAACCAGCCCCACTGTTGTTTGTAATTGGGCCTAGGACAGGCACCAGGGAAGCAGCAAAGCCTCAGCTAGCTCTGATTAGGAAACCCTGCCCAAGGCAGAGGCTATAGTATAAACAAATTTGTCCAGGCCCTTCTAGAAGAAAAGCAAAAGACTAGACTTGGAAAGAGTGCTAAGAATACACATGTAGCAAGGATGCTTTGCTTTTAACAAGAAACCTGCTAGTAAAGCAAGAAACCCCAAACAGCCCAAGCTCAACTTTCTAAGGTTAACATTGTATGGCTAACAGCAAGGGTGAGGAATCACCTTGCCAGCTAGAAAAGGCCAATCTGCAGACTGTAAGTGTTGAAATAGTGTCTGTGATAAGTAATAAGCCCCGAATTAAAAATTTGCTGGCCTGGAAGAGCATATTTATGCTTGGAACAAGACCTCTGAAAACCTAAGTGGAAGTTTTCTGTCTTGCATACACTTCCTGTGTTGCAGATGGCTGTGAACTGAGAMGGTCCATCTCAAGGAAACATCTGTTCAATGATAGAGCTGTTGCTGCTGAAAGGCTGACTTTAAAGAGCAGGTTCTGGAAATCAGCAACTTCACACGAGATGAGTGTTTGCCAAAGAGGTAAGGATGTAGCAAGGTAAGATTCAGCATTTCTGCAGAGTCTGTGACCTCAGATTGTCCAAAAAGTGCCTCTGGCCTCAACTCCTGAGGTAAATGTGGACATTTTCCTAGCCCGGAAAGCTGAAGCATCTGGAAGATGCAACAACTTTCCCAAGAGCACACACAGATTTCTGGTTTTGTTAGGACAGCGGGTAACTATCAGAGCCCATATTCTCCCCAGACTTCCTACCTTCCCTTCTGTAAGAACATGCTACTGMATGCATAGAAGAGAAGGAAGAAGAAAAGACAGAGAAGGGAAATAGGTGCAGTATTGACAAATTGAGAAATCGGGCCCATCTTGGCATAAATCTTGCTGCTTCTTCATGTCAGATTTCAAGGGGAGGCTTTTTGCATGTGTCTTTCACAGATGCGAAGCCTGAAATAGAGAGTTCAAGTGGCTCAATGAAACTTGTACAAAAGATGAGTTGTGGGACTGGGAAAAGAAACCAGGTCTCCTAGCACCCCATTCCCCAAGATAGGAATAACTTGTTATATGAACTGGCATTTGCCCTGTTTCACTTGGCAGTGTAACACGGAGCACAGGGAATGATGTTCTTACCATTAGGAATGCTTCAATGATGCCCCTCTAATAGAAGAAGGAAAAGGAATGCTGGAATGAAAGCATTCCCAGTGGATTCAATGTGCCTGTTTGAACTAAGCAGTTGGAGGGGAAAAATGCGAAAGAATAAAACAGAAATAATAATTCATAAAGGAGAACAACCACCTTAGGACAAATGGGAATATTGATGGAGAATGCATAAGRTTGGAGGGAGAAAATGTAGAGACACCAGCAAATAGACTGGAAGAACCATGAGGGTAGTGTGGAAAGAAAGCTGAACTTGTAGAAAACAAGTGAACACACAATTTTCTCCCATTTTCTCCACAATTTTCTCTTCATGGTTGGCCAGGCAATGGAGCTCCTCAAGGCTGCTGCTCCTGAGAAGGTTTTATTGCCAAGGTGCCTGTTTTGTGAGTCTGCCTCACTACACAGGAGGCAGAACTGCTTTGGACTTGGTGTGTAGAGCAATGTGAGAAAAGGAGAGGTCAACATGGGAGACAGCAGGAGGAGTTGGCTGCTTTGTGGGGCTTCATGTGGGAGCAGGAACCCCAAGGACAAGAGGGAAGCAGTGTGGTGAGGTGGCCATATACATGTTCTGCAGGCCAGGCTGGTCTCAAGTAGGCTCATGTCTTTGTCAAATAGACCATCCACTCACTGGTCATGGATACGTACRGAATATTTGCTTCTGGATTGGACTTGGGTCTTCTAGAGGAATCAGACTACTAGGCATCCTTTTTAGATACAGAGCTATATCTGTACTTGTTTCAAGTTCTCCCAGATTTAGGATAAGTGCTGAAAATTTGGTCTCAAATTTTTGTTCTTTGTATATACATACATGGGCAATTTTTCACCAGTGACTGGGGAGAGTTGGGCCCTGGGTTGCTACTGTAAATAGAAACTTGACAAAATGGCTTCACACAAAGTCCAACAAAGATAGAAAAGAAGTTACTGGGAAGTGAAATGGAGGCCAAGAGTGTTAATGATTTTAAGGGCAACCTCCATATGTGCTTGGAGAAGGAAGATGTTGGAAGGTTAAGTGGAGGGGGAGCAGGTGGCTGGGCCTATGAGTGTTTTAAGACGTTTCCTATTTAAAAAAGAATTGCTGCTGCCTTAAATAATGTATTGGATTTCTGGCATTCCTTGTTGGGAAAATGGGCCTCCCCCCCCAAAAAAAAAAAAATTGGATCTGTGGATCTGCATCTGAACTGTTGGTGACTTTGAATTGTCTCCCAAAGCATGGCATCTACCAGTTAATTCCTATAAAATTCATTAGTTTGTGTGTTTTAAGTCATCTGTCATTGCAGCAGTAGCTGTTGCTGTTCCTGGATCCCTCTCTTTCTCCTAGCTTTCCTTGTGCTGTTGCTAGTTAGACCTTGGTGCTTCTATTTGTCCTAAGTTAGCACCTTATTTTAATGACTTTGCCTTGCCAGCTATGAAATCTATGACTTKAGTTGTGAAATCTAAGGGATAGAAATGGGTATTTATGTATTCAACAGCATGCTGGGTACTACCAGATCAAAATGGTGGTGTATGTGGACTTCCATGTTTTTATTCTTTAAACTATTTTGCTAGTGATTTTATTTAGGCTTGCAGTGACCCAGCTCGTCTAGGTTGCAGTGAATGGCTTCATATTAGACATCAACAGCAAAAAAACATTTTGTGAAGTTTGTAGTTAGTCCTGTGTAGTTATATGGATGGAAATGRCATTTCTAATGTACCAAGTTTGAGGTGGAAGGGCTGAGCACGTTGCTTTATAAATTAGTAGTTGCCCTGCAGAGCTTCTTAATAGGCCTTTAGAATGGATATTCCATTACAGATAGGAGAAAAGCTCCGTCAGCTGGAAAATTGTTGTGTGCTAAACTGAATTCCCATTCCAGAGGATGGGATTCACGGAAAAGGAGAATCACATGTGACTGACTTCATTTGATGTTTTACCTTTTTATGGTTTCTTGAAGTTGCGTTCTTCAGAAATGGAAGTAGGATGTATATGTATGTTCCATGGAATCTTTCCACCCAAATCCTGCAATACTGGGACAAAACTAGCTCACTTGAGCACAGGGATTATGGGGAGCTGCCCTCCCTGTGGCTGCTCAGGATCCTGAGTTCTCCCCTTCTCACACTCGAGTCACAGGGCGCCCACTCCTATTGACCATCGTGTCTTTTGAACTCCACCTTCCTTGGTGTCTATAGCAAGAAAAAAAGAGAAGTGTCTCTGGAGTAAATGTATTTCTTCTCTCTTTTCTTAGTTTGGAGTTGAGCAATTTCATTCCCTAATTGTTTCAGGGCAAAAATGGAGGAAACTAGCAGAGACTTGCTGTGCTCTATAAGCATCTTATTCATCATTCCTGGTGAGCAAGGGCTCACTTGCTGTCCCTCACTGGTGCTCTCTRACCTTATCAAGATATGTCCTATTTAGTGGTCAGGTGAATAGTTATATAGTCATATAAAACAGCAGTGACTTTGATACATTATGCCTGTTATATTTAATTGATAGTGTTTTGGTGTGTCATGATACTTACATAATGAGGAAGGTTTATTTGGGTGTGCAAGTTTCTGCGGGATCATCTTGGATCTTGCACTGCAGAATTTCCTCTTTAGTTACCTGTGTGTCGAGTCCAGTCGTGTCCGGCCAAGTCAGAGACTGGTTTTTGGAGGGTTTCCTTAGTTATTGCCTTGTTCCTCATGTGTTCCCAGTAGAGCTCCRTGCACTTACCCGTGTCAGAGGGCTGGTGAAATGCTCTAATTTGAGGAGCACTCAACGCAGCAGTTAATAGTCCCTCCAACCAGTGTAATCTATGAATCTGAAGGCAGTAAATAAGCAAGGAGGTATCTATGCTGGTGGGCCAGGGCTGGACACTTGCTCAGAAAYGAGGGATTAGTTTGCGGAGAGATTGTGGAGAACTAGCCCCGTGTCCATTGTGCAAATCGGGTTTTCCCAGCCGATCGGAGTGCGGAGGGATGAATGGAAAGTGAGTTAAAATAAGGGTCGTCTCGCTGTGCCTTTCAGCAAGCAGGTTGAGACAAGTGCTCAAGGGCAGATATATGTGATGTATTTGGCCCAGGACCATTTAATGAAGTACATGGAGTGTTTGGCAGGGGGGAGAATAAGTGTGACGTGGGCTGGGAGCACCCCCGGGGAAGTGATAACATGATACCTCTAGGGAGCATCACGAGGCACCAACCCATGTCCATGCGTGGGGAGAAGCGGGAATCTCCACATCTGTTTCCTGCTATTGAATTCGCAAGAGGGGCTTCTTRGTGGCAGGGGAAATAAGGGAATAAACTTCAGGCTGGGAAGATCCTCTGTTAACAAAACAGTGAAAGACAGCGCAAGCATAGAGCCAGGAAATGCCTCTACCTATCCCTCATCGAGCCTTAAAAAAAGGCAATGCAAGAAGGGCTCATTCRTGGATGCTTTTTGCTTAAAAACACATGACAAGGTGGCACAGAATGAGGGTTTGTATTTTCAAAGCAATATGCAATTAAATCTGTTCACCCTCCCCAGCAAGATGCCCCAGGACACGAAGGATGTTGCTGCTGAAAATGAAAAAATAAAAATCCAAAAGGTGCCCTGCAAAAGCCAGGCTAAAGAGCGATTAGGAGTGTGGAGGGAGATGGGGACGTGCTGGGTCAGCAGCGCAAGGGTAAAATCGGTGTCAGTGGCCTCAGCTGGAGAGAGGGGGGGAAAAAGTAAGTGCTTAACTTCCGTTCAGGCGCTGCTGAAACATAGGAGCCGCTTTCTGGGAAAGGGAGCGAGAGGGGAAAGGAGGGGGGAAAGAGGGGAAAAAAAAAAAAAAGAGGGAGAGGGAGCGCGGGCAGGTTTCCCGGCGCGGGCAGGAGTATGAGGAGCGGCAGCGCGGCTGCTGCCGGAGTGCGTGGGGCGGCTGCCGAGGCACCCACGGCCACGCAGAGGGACCCACGGGCACYCACGGCCACGAGGAGAGACCCACAGGCGTGCGGAGGGACCCACGGAGCCACGCGCGGGCGGCCAGTGAGTGCAGCGGGKGCGCGTGGGGCGGCCAGGGTGCTGGGACTGGGAGGATTTTCTTGTTTATTTGTGTATTTATTTTGTTTATTTTTCCTGATTTTTCTGGCTCCGGCTACCTGGGACTTGCCCAGGCTCTGCAGCAGGAGAGGGGTTGCCCGGCACAGGCTGGCATGGGAAAGGGGGAAGGAAGGACCCTCCTCTTCTTCCACTTGCTTTAAACCTCCCGTGGCCGCTTCTCTGCGGAGTAGGTGCCATGCCGAGAATAACACTTTTTGTCTTTGTGACTTTTTTGGTGTTCTTAATAGGAACTCAGTCCCTAAATTCTTTTCACGTGGCCCCAAAGGCTATTGGAGCAGCTTTGGGCTGTGGTACCCTCGCTGGAAGCCCAGCAAAAGCGAGCGCTGAGGAAGGAGG